TTTTAGAATTCGGGTCGATCGATTCTAATATTCAAATTTGTGTTTTATTTCGGCAATCCATGAATTAACACTTCCAGAGTCATCCAACAATTTAGGCAAACTAAAAATGTGAGATAAGCTGGGGGTACAATCCGAAGAATTGGTACCACTTATTCGGCACAAAATCGCAAGACTCGATCTCTAACCTTTTCTATGAGGGATGTTGATATTAGATAGGATATAGACAGCAACGTCTCTATCCAACGTCAGGATAATGACACCAGTTAATCAATTTTGTGATACGCAGATTAACCCGCGTATGAAAATGATAAGAAGATAAATCCTTCGTTTTGATTAAGATACGAGGAGACGTTTCTTTGACAATAACAACAAAATTTAATGAGACAGAAAAACAAAATTATACAACGGAATAATTAATCTAAACGTTTCGAGAGAGAGAGAGCTTACAATTTTCTACTATAATCATACTACCTCTAGGTATATTTCTCTTCTTCTGTTCTTTAATGATGGACTTCAGGCCTTTCTAGGTAGATCTTGCCTGGCACATTTTTTTATATATTTTCTTCCCTATTCGTTCTAACTTAAACTCATTATTAAAATCTGCAAGATACGACTATGGGCGTTGGCCTTCAGGAGATAATATGGAATACGTTCGTCTTCTATGAGATCTTCTGGCATATTCCCCGAATCATACAAAATTCTTTCTATTTCTCACGATTGTTCTCCAATCAGCTTTTTGGATTCTGTCACGTGAACAGAAGAAGAGGGAATGTATCGAGGGGTTAACAATTTCCAGTGTGCTGAGATTTGTAGTAGATAAGGGTAAAACAAAAGGATGTTTCAACTTCCGTTGCAGGAAGTGACTTTTTATCAGTTTCCCTCGTTTAGAAAATCATAAATTTCTCACCAAATTTAAAGAATATTTTTCGCTGAAAATTTAACTTTATAGTTAAATTATAAATTAGTCACAGGGCTACTCAGATCTCACAATAATATGTGGGATGCAATAAAAGTTTAAAAACAACTTTGAATAATAATAAGTTTATATTTTTTAATTAAATATAATTTGTCCATATTTCTTACTTTTCTCTTTGACAATATGAAATTCCGCAAAAAGTTTTCCAATGTTTTCTCAGTTAACTCGAAAAATCCCGATTTAGAGGAAAAATCTCCAGTCTCGCAACCTGTCTTTAGAACGTCTGGTTTAATTCGCCACAAGAGAGGAAGCAGACCAGATTCTGAATATGTTCGAATGCTTTCGTAAATAAAAAACTTGCAGTAAGTGAAAATGAGAACAATCATTGATTAATGCATAGCGATTACGATAACAGTACTTAAAAAGAAGATATTGTAAAACTCTCTTAAAAAGCCTGAAGTTTTATTTCTTAGGAATTAGTAAAGTGTTTTTCTTTTTACTTTTTTACTTTATCAATTTATTAATAGTTAGAAAGGAATAAAACAACAACAGGAATAAAACAAGTTAAATAATAAGTATTCGAGGTATTCGAAATAATATTTCAATATTCGAGATCTGGTTAATATTCGAATTCAAGAAGAGTGATATTCGTCTAACTCTACTATATAGTTTTTCTATATCGATAAACTTGGTATAGCTCTAAAGATTATATCTTCCGGTTGATACTTCCACTTTTTGTGTTTTAATTCGTACATTCGAATTTACGCAATTAGGTGTCACGTCACATTGACACAAATACAACGTGTAAATAAATTGTTAACGTAATATATGAACTTTTTAGCGTAATACTCACCGTTGTGTCATCTAACATGTGATGTAATTGAAAAACGGAACAATAAAAAAAATACTGTTCAATGCGATTACGTTGTTAATGATCCGATAAACCATATTTGCTATCATAAATATTTTAAAAACGTTTTGGAGTTCGAACAAATAAATTTTAAGTTTTTTGTGTCAACGGAGAGGACTGAAGGGTTCCTATGGCTGTCTCCTTACATCCGTCACTTTAGTTACGGAGCTATTGAATACAATGACGGATTAAGGAAACTAAAAAGGCTGCAGCACGGACTTCCATGGGTTAAGGATCCCCGAATCTTGTCTCAAGCAGTATTTGACTTTTTTTAACATATTAAGTTAATATGCATATAATGCATATTAAGTTTAGAAATACAGTAAATATTTAAAAACTAGAGAATAATATCAATTTTTACAGTTTATAGAACTGTGATAATCGGCAGATAAAAAATATTTTTAAAAACTTTCTGACCTATGTTCATAATCACCATAGTAAAACTTTAAATGTTCTGCTTATGTTTCAGATTTTAGTACAAGACACATCAATGAGACTCAGAGTGGCGTTGAATCTAGTTGCAACACTACTAATACGAGTACTATGCCTACGGCAGAATTTCTTTCTACTTATTCAGGTAGTTGGCCTATGGGCAATAATGACGATTTTATAAATCAGTGTACAGTATCTTGGACCTTTATTGTAGGTGGAATTTCTTTCATTTATTTAACTGTGACGGATCTAACTAGATTCTCTTACAATTCATTTAATTTTTTTCAGAACGTCAAATAGATTAAAATAAGTGTTTCTCTTTACCTAATATTTAAAATTGTATTTTTCGATTTTTATATTCTTGTTGAGAGCCGGATTTCTTCTGATTCATACGATGTTACCAATTTTATTAATCAAATATCTTTCCTTACCCGACAAAATCAAAGAGGCGATGGAATTCTACCCTCTGTCTCTTCGTGTAATTAAAATATTCTGATGTTGCGACTCCATCTCCATACTTACTGTTAGTATTCCAGATCATTATTACAGTTTATGCGTGTCACCTTAAAAGTATCAGTATATTTCCAAACTCTACAGTTTTGTGTTTTTTCTTGAACCTGTATATAACTGGAGGCTCATTCTATGAGCCGATTTCAACTTTTCCAATGTTTGTTGATTTCTATCGGTTAGAATTTTTATAATTTAGATTCACTGAAGCCTATTTTCTCAATGAAATTTATTATTTTTTAATACTTCCCAAGCCATTCTTTCCTACACGTGATAATTTTTACTTCGATTTAGCTTTTTATAATAATTACCGTTGTTAACCTTCCTTACAACGAATTTGTCTGTGATCATTCAGCAATTTTCTTGGATATTTCTATTTGACCTAATTGCTATAAAACTAAACGATTCGTTAAAGTGCCAATCTGATCGCACTTTAACGAAAAATTAGCTGCCAGGTACTGTACAGTACAGTACAGTACTTATTGTATGTTGTATGGTAGGTTCTTAGAATATTCCAGTTTGTCATTCACTGCTTGTACTAATCTTACTTATAATATTTTAACATCAAATATTGAGAATTTTGTAAAAACACGTAAAATTGAGGTCACTTAATATAAATGGTTTTCTAGTCAGTTAAAAAAAAGCTACGAAATCTACTGCGGAAACAATAGAGTAAATGAAAAAGATCTGGCAATCCAAAGGATCTTTATTTACATCGAGTCATTCAAAATCAATATTATAAGGAATGTTCTTTGTCTTTTTTAAACTACTTTAATGGAGTAATTGATTCTTTCGCCTCTAATCATAAGACCTGACTGGAGTTTATTTAATTCCTAAGTTTCCAAGAAAATTTTTTGCAAGTCTTTCTGGATCCAAGATAATCGAGTATATAATATATACTTAGGTTTTAAACAAAAACTCGTTAATAATTTTCCCGACGCTGATTTTAAACTACTTGTCTTCTTTTCGCATTCAAACTTAAAAAGGTTTTCTCAAGTTATTAATTTACTTCTATGTTTCATCCGGATCAAATTCCCGCTGTTTTTTTTAATCATTGAAACTTATTTCAGCAGTTAATCTTTCTAAACGTTTTACTCGTTTTGCCGTCAGGTTTTGTTTTAAAACAATGGCTTTCATCCATAATTAGTCCAATTCCATGTATATCATAGAATTTATTCTCCGTTAACAAGTAAGTTTTTGCCTTTTCAACATTGTGGTATTCGCCATTATTTCACAACTACGAATTTCATACAAACTTTGTCAATTATCAGTAATAATTTCGAGAATGAGAAATCCTATTATTTTATATATATTGATATATATTAACGTTATTCCGTTGATTCCGTTTTACCAAATATTCTTCTTAACTTGTTTCGCGTATATGATATAGACCCAATTATTCGTCCATGATTCAATAATTACTTCTTGTTACGAAAACGCAAAATCAAAATAGGCGATTATGAATTTCTTGATTTTATTCCTATATGTGGTGTTCAACAAGGATTTATTCTTTTCAATATATATTAATAATCTTCTCCATCTAAATCCTAAGTTGTAGCTTACACTGACGATATTAATTAAGTTGATAAGATCCTGTAATCTGATATTTACTTGCTGAAAAATCTATTTGAATCTGCTAATCTCAGGATTAAAATTCTATACAAAACATTGTGGTTGTGTGTTTTACTTTAATTCGCAATTCTCCCGTACTCATCTCTTATATTGACTCCATTCCTATTAATTGTGTTATGTCATTCAACGATCTAGGAATAATCTTTCATAATAAACTTACTTTTAAAAATCATTTTGTTAAAATAGTTAAATCTGTGACCATTAAATATGGAATATTATGGCGTTTTTGTAAACTGATCTGATCTTAAAATGATTAAGAACTATTTCTTAAACTGATTTTCAGTCTTGCATTGATTATGGATTACCCATTCGGTTTATGGCGCCTTCCCTTTTGGTTAAAATTGCTCTTTATAAAATTTATTTATCTTTTAATAAATCATGCAATTTACCGTATACTCAAAATCTGAGCTTTACTAGAATTCGATTAAATTCCCTTTCATTTTTAAAGCGTATCAAATTTTTATTGTTTACGTTATTTAAAAATTTTTAATGACTATTTATTACGATCGGCTCTTTGTATGTATCCTCCTGAAAAACCTACTGCCTTCATCTAGTATGTTCATTCCATTCTTTAGTTTGAGTATATCTCAAAGGCCACTTTTTAAAATCGTATTTCTCAAAATTTAAATACTTTTGATAATTTTTTATTTCTTAATTTTTTTTGTTTTAAATTAAATGCAAAAAACACGTTATAGCCTACAATTTTTAATTTTATGCAATTGTTGTATTTTTATGTAATTGCTGTATTTGTTTTTATGTACTGTACAGTACTGTATATCTGTTAATTTTGGATGGTAGATCTTAACCGTCCTTCGGGACTTTTCTATTTACTTGTAAAAATAAATAAATAAACAATTTTTATACCATGGCCCGTAACATGCTTTGATCCGGTATCGATTTATTACACTTTTAGAAGTCAAAACTAAAAAAAAAAAAAAATAAAATGTAAACGTATTATAAATCCAAAAATGTTTTCAAAAGTAATTATTGTTATAGATTAAACAAAGTTATTAACTTTATTATTATTCGTTTTAATTCAAATGCTTTTTTCTTTTATTTCTTATTGCTATTAATTATTATATTTATTTATTGTTTAATATTTAGCCTTGAATATACAAATTTGTAGATGATTTGGTTAATAAATTATGGAATATTACTCACTACGTATCAAGTTAAAAGTAAACTTTTTGTATTTACTGGGAAAATTGAAAATGGAAACTATAACTTTTATCGAAAACAAAGTGAAGTCTTGAAAAAGTTTAAAATACGCGATTTTATTCTACGAGAGCTTTCTTTAATATTTTTATAAGCAAAGTTCAATCAAAAAGTCATTTTTGGAAAATAAATGAAATATTGCTGTATTTAACGGAACTTATTGAGATTTAACGTTTACCAGGACATAATCGCAAGTCTAAGAAATAAGAACGTTGTCATTTTGAGCTATGGTAATAGCCAGAGCGTGACATTCCAAAGAAATCGTAAAGGAGATAATCGTTCCTGTAAGTCAAATAACTCTCGAAACGACAAGTAATTACGATTACTAGTTGTCAATAGGTTTTGTAGACAAAAAATCCATCCTTAAATGGTAGAAGAACTTTACTAATCATTAAGGAGAGCTAGGTTAACAATCTTTCTTACCTGTTGATCCTTTAAAAAAATACTCCCTTCTGGTTGATTTTCCTTATCCAAAACTATGCTAGCAATTTTAATGAAGAGATTATAAACGCTATTTTGTTTGTAAAATATAAGTAGTTTTTCGTCGATTATTTTTATCCGGTAACAAAACTAGCGGAAAAAACTATTATTTGGTTAATTATCGCCATTGTAAAAATATATCTCGTTCTATTCATCAACACAAATAAATGTATTATTAATTACAGCTTATAAATTTTAATTTTTCCATCGATCTTCACTCGATTCTACTTTAGTATCAATTTGTCCCCCCGGAAGTAAATACCTACTCGTCCTGAATTTATCGATGCAAAGAGACTTTCGTAACAAGTTTCGGATCCGGAGGTATAGCTGACCAAAATTCTTGGAATATATACTCTCTGGGTAACAAGAAGCCCGACGTCGAAGGGACTAGTATTATGGGACATAAAAAGAAATGTAAACTGAATGATAAGTGAAAAAAGTCTTTATAGGTCTGGCCGTCTAGTCTTTATTGGCAAATGAGCGGGCGCAACGTTAGCCAATGCAAGAAATAATGCATGTCCATTTATACCTTTATCGTCCGGATCTATACCAGGGAGCTGCAGAGAAAATTGTTCAGATTATATGTGCTGTACCAAATGACCTTCCTTCAGAGTTCTCTTCGACAGTCGGTTCATCTACTTCCACATATACCGTTTACCCAGGGCTTAAACGACGATAGAACTCGAAAACACAGTACGGACAGAACACTGCCTTAGACAATCATTCATATTTTAACCACTTTTAAACTAATTTGTATGTTTGCTGAGTATGATATTTTTTTCTCGCCGGTGATTGCCAGACAGAAGAAATATCATAATAGACAGAGCAAAATGGCGCATACAAAGGATACAACAAAAAATTCATACGAGTTATACCGCAATTTTTTGACAACACAAGTAAGAGTCCTAACCTATCATTGTTATTTTGTCAGAAATGTCTTTTGTACAGTACGTTTTAGATACGAAATAAAACATATGTTATATACAGTCAAACCTGTCTATAACGGAACCCCAAAGGACCGAACAACTCTTCCGTAGTATACAGATTACCGCTATATACAGGTATCCCTCGATTAATGCAAATAATAAATTTCTCGATGTTACTGCGTAAATCAAAATCGCATTAATCAAGTACAGTGGTACAGTACTGTACCTCGGTACTCGACCGAACAATCACCACCCGCTACAACAAATTTTCGGTTAATAACAAATATTTTTTCATTCATCCGTAAAAAAGTTCTCTAAGATAAAAATGAGTAACCAATTTAAAAACGAACTAAAACCTTACCAGCTGCCTAGCCTCGTCAGACAAAATTATACTCAATTCAGTTTGTTTTTTCATGAGTGGAAAAAAAAGACAAACTGCATGCAGAACACAATCATCAGCATGTTTTACAACCATTTGAAGTGGATGTAATGTTTCAACAATACATGTCTGTGAACAATACGCCAACACACTAAGATTTGTTGCAAATTCTCGTGTTGTTATTCGTCAATCTTTAACAATTTCTTCCCGCAATTTCTCTTCAACAGCTTAAAAGCTGTCGGGATCCGTACGTTTTGTATTCTTTAGTTCAAAATTTCCCGAACGAAACTTTCAAAACCACATGGGACCGAAGAAATTTTCCGTTAATGACAGACTTTCGCTATATACAGGTTCCATTATAGATAGGTTTGATTGTATGTGTTTTATTTTNCGAGTTAAGTATCTTTAAGCACGGATTCGTGGACATCTTTTATATTACGCGAATACCAATTAACGCGTTTTTTAATTAAATAATTTGAATTAAATTCAATTGTTACGCGTACAGATAAACGGAATTGCTGTCTTACTCGCATGTTCATCGAAATCTAATTTGAATAACAACGTCATGGATGGTTTGTGTTGTGACGTCTAATGACACGAGGTAATCTCGGCGCCACTAATTTCTGAATCGATAGTCCCGTCTTTGATTGGTCGGGCCGTCGACTTTCTTTAACACAGGAAATATATTGAGTTGACTGTCTGTGTCTCTAATCTGTGGTCGGCTCTTGTCGAGTAGCTTGTTCGGCAACCGAGACAAATGTGGCGTTCAAAATTTTCTTCGTAAACCGAATTAGAAAATGCGAGGCGTTCGAAATACGAGGTCTGATTGTATAAGCAAAGCGCTTACTAATATAATTTGTATAATTCCATAGTGTCTTAAGGATTACTCTTAACAATTGTTTAATCTGTTATTTGAATCACCACAAATGTCTTCACCACATAATGATGCTTGTGTAGAAAAGGGATAAAAATATATTTCTGTATATATGCTGGAAGGATAAAAATATAATTCTGTAAATTATATTTATAGATTAATAGATTAAACAATTGTTAAGTGTCTTTTGAATGCTAGCATGTGTCAGAAGACTAATGAAACAGATCTCGTATAAAAATTCACCAATAAATGCAGTTAGGCTAACAAATTTTTTCGATTAAGTGCCCGATCGGTTATGTCGATTAAGTGCCCGACCGTATCAGTTATCAGATATGAAGCTGGTGTGTCACCAATGCAAGTTGTAAGGTTTTCAATGCACAATGAACATTCCATTTTATACAAACTTAATCTTGAAAGGTAACCTGCCAGCGTTCCTTAAGCTGCATTCTTAAAAGAGAAAATACGGAAGCCCTATTCTAAAAAAATATTTATTTACAAGATCTTGGAAATTTTAAAATTACAAACAAGAAAAATTATTTAATAATAAAATAAACACGAGAGTTAGAGAGTTGTTGTTTTAGACGACATGAAAAACGAAGTGGATATACATATAGTAATTTATTACGATCAGTTTTACTGGGAAATTTTACTGCTTTTACTGTTTACAAATTTGCTGAATTTATTGCATAAAATGGTTCAAAAAATTTCATGACCAATGTATACTGTACAGTCTTTAGTATCGACTACAGTAATGTAAGGCACGGACGGTATCGCAGACTTCTGGATATTGAAAACACTCTTTAATTATAATTTTTCTACTGAAGTTGTCACGCGTCCTACACGAAAGCTTAATAGTCCTGCTTTAGATTTGCATATAAAGAAACTTCATGTTTAAAAGTTAAGTAATTTTTGACATAATCTTTTGCTTTTCGTAAATTTACAAAATATAAATCAAAATATTATAAAACCTAATTGTCACATGCGTATTTTGCATAATTCGTTGAGACATGCTTTCGAACTATGCCCATGGACGTTGAAAATATTATTTTAAAAATCAATTCTCATTTTTACTTTTCCGACTTTGTTTGTTACATATACAAGTAAAACGGCGAGGCCATTCCTGAGACGAGACTATGTCTCCGAGAACTTGAGCAACGCATGCGCAAATCTCTCGCGCCTGATTGTAGAAACAGTCTCAGCATTTCGTATTTTATTTTGACCCGGTTTTCGGTCCCCTGACTATCTACAAGTCTGGTTTATTTTATGTGCGCATGAATTGGGCACCAAATACTCTGTGCCAAATTGCAACTCCTGACAAGTACTCCTTCATAATCGCGTTGCAGCCATTGGCAGCAACGCGATTTTAAAGACATAGTCTCCTCAATAACAGAGGGAAAGTATCGATCGATAAAAAATGACCTTCTAAGATTTTTACATTTTTGAACTCGGGACATTAAAACGTCGAGAAATGCCAAAAAAATAAATTTAAAAAATTCGGTTTTGTTTTTTGTATGTATGGATGTTAGTGTGTGTGGCATGATTTTGTTCAGTCTTTTTGAAGCTTAATAACTCTTGTGCTTTCTGTCAAAAATTTCTGAAAGTTTGCAGCGAGGTTTGTTTATTAGAAGGATTGATGCTATTCAATTTTGGTGATTAAAGGTCGAGGGGAGAGGAAATAATGGGAGCGTGTGTATCTCCAGTAGGGTGGGACTAAATGGAGATTTTACTCGTTATTAGCATTTACAAATTTTTATAAAACCCATCTCTACCCTAAAAATTAAGCTTTTTGCTATTTTATAATAATTAAAAATATAAAACACTTTTAAAATAAAATGTCATAATAGATGGCGCCACATTCGCAGGTTTACATGTTTCAGGAAAAATTAAGCAACTCGTTGCTGGATTTTTTTTATTTTAGTTTGTCATGAAACTTCGAGATGAATTTTATGAATTTTTAAATATTGAGTTTACTGATCTTTTACGTCACAATCTTGAGTAGGAAGATTATTACGAGACTGACGAGATAATCGTCGTCAATGCTTAGCATTACAAAAAAACCGGGCGTTAAGTGTTTAATATCATATCTTCTTAGTAGCCTAATGTTAGTGATTTATCTGTAGCTTTACGAAAAGCTTTGCAATTCAAAGATGAAGAAATACCAACTGAAATTGAGATATATTTATTGTTCGCCACTTGCGATTTTCGAAAAGTCGATTAAATTATTAGGAAAAATAGTACCACAGTTGGCCCTTGGATTCGTTCATTTTTACGTCTTTACGGGATGAAAGAATTGTTTATGAATACATATATACTCCTTTGGGTTTCATTTTGTCTTGAAAACGGATCGAGCGTATTCAAAATTTAATCTTGAAGGGGAGCCAAGTTGCACGAATAAAAATTTTTAATGCGAATTCAATAAAATTTTCTTCGTATGTGACCTCTAATTCAAAAGTAGTATCGAAATAGAAGACACGATACAATATAAATAAAAAATGAATTTTAATTAACAAAAGAAAATTTTTGGAAAATTTTCTAGTTTGTTTTTCTTTTTCTTTGGAGGGTGCCAGGGCCCCTTAGGTGCGCTAATGGTTGAGGGAATGTAATTAATTTAGTTAATTTAATTTCATCATTATTATTATCTTCTATTAAATAGAGGAGAAGGTAGTATTATGGAACCTCAATACATTACAGGTACTTCTAACTTTACGACCGAGTTCCGTTCCTACGACTACGTCGTTAAGCAAATTGGTCGATAAGCGAGGAGCTTGCAGCCAGGAATATAGGATCGTTGTAAAATTATAAAAATTATGCAACAAACTTCAAATTTATTCATAAAAAGACACGCATATGTACATATTATAATTTGGTTATCTGGATCTGTAGAGTTTTTTCCCAGGTAAAGGAGATGACAACGTTGAAATAAAAGTTGTACTTTCAAGGGCGGAGGTCTTGGATGTAACAGTCGAAAAGAAGCTCATAACTGTGGTTTGCGTTGAAATCTTCATTTTTTCTTGATAAATTTCTCTATAGCACTTCAAAAGTTCACTTATCCCACGTTCAACTTTATGTTAAAATGTTCAGTATTAGGATCCATAGCCTCAAGTTCCAACATAGTCGCATTAATTTTGAAGACAACACCAGCTAACCCATGTACCATGAATTTCTTTTTCACTTCTTCAGGTCTTTTGTCTTTTTCCTCTTCCAAATACTGCATGGCTTCTAACTCTATTAAATCTTTATTTGTTAGCTCTCCATCGGCATAATCCACTAATTCAAGCAATGTCTTCCACTTCAACATCTAAATTAAGCGCATTGACAAGGCCCACAATTGTTGAATTACATCAAACTGACTAAAAAAGTCCATAGCAAGCCTATACTACACTCAGTGAGCATGCCACCAATCGCCACTGATCGACACTCAAGCTGAGAAAGGGGATTTCCCTAATTGCAGGTCGAAACTCGATTGATCGTAAGTGCAAGTGGTCGTTAAGCAGATAGGTCGTAAAATGAAGAGTACCCAGTAGCGTAGCGTGGGTGTCAGCCGCCCGGGGCAAAGGAAAATTTCGCCGCCCCCTTATTTAGGTATTTCAATTTAAAAAAGTAAAATTCAGTATCGTCACAGAATAAGTAATGAAAAATTCTGTGTTAGGGTTTCCACCTTTTTAAAATCGCTGACCCGGACGGCAGGTGAGGTTTGTTCGAAAAGAAGTTTCTGACACATGCGTATGACATTTTGCAATGCGAAGAATAATGTGCAGTGCATGCCGGTTCAGTTAGCGATTAGGGAGAATTGGGTAGGAGTAATGTAAATAACCTAGATGACTTAGCTGTATTGGACATTGGAAGTGTATATGAATACGAATGAACGTCAATCAATAAACGTCTCTCGGAGAAAAAGCACTTAAGGCAGTAATCTCCATATGAACCAAGGGTGTCGAATAGAAGAACCATTTAACTGAAGTGAAACGGGTTTCTCCTTGCTATGGATGTCTGCGTCACAATCCGCTATAGTTCGCCTTTATTATCAGTTCGAAATAGAGGGGTTCATAATACCACCTTTTCCTCTATTTTTATTTATTAAAAATTTTTGATTACAAATTAAGGAAAAAGACGTATCGTCTTATCAATCTTCCCTACAGCACTCTAAGATAAACCAACCCATCGGACAGTTCTGATTGCACCGACTATAGGCTATTCTAAAAGATTTTATTTAAGCAGCAACTCACTTCTAGAATTGAAAATAAATTTTCGGGTATGAT